GGCTTTCCTGCAGGCCCTTAATCCTCCCCCGGAGCCCGCCAAAATCCTGCCCGCTGCAAATCAGGCCCCCCATAAATTTGGGGGCCTGCCACGCAGGCTAGGTTAAGCTGTGACATGTAAAAGTAAATAGACCAGTGTATTTGGGAAAAATACACGAGTTTACAATCAAATGATATTTTTTATCGAATTCCAAGAATTATCGATTTGAAAAGTAACACGGCATAACAATATTACATGCAACTTTCTTTTTAATAAAAAACAAAAAGTTTAAACTTTAAAACGTGGCAGAAAATAGAGCGCCAACATACCTTTCCAGAGGAGGAGTGAGGACTATACCGGCATGCAACGCGGTCATGCGCGGTTTTTTACATATCGATTTCTCGCTCTGCGCCGTCATTGTTCGATCGGCCTTCGTTGTGTTTACACCCCGAGGTTTCAAGAGATTCAGGAAATATTTATAGAAAAAAAATTGTAAAATGGTGGATTTTTGTACTATGCATGGAAAGAAAGCTTCGTTTTTGGTTGGACACGAGCTTCTGTGTGTTCACTGCAGGGGGCGGATCCAGCTCCTGAGGTGACTGATGCATACATAAGACCTCGCATTTGTAGAGGGGTCCGGGGGTATCCTCCCCCGGGAAATTTGGAAATCTAGGACCTCGGAAATGCGATTTCCTGCGTTGTGAGCGAACTCTTTTGTTCTAATTCATATATCAGAATCACAAAAATTCCGCTGCATTTTTGGAAAAACACGTAAAAAACTTGAACCTATATCGCAAAAACAACATAATTATTTCTCTATATAAGGCCATATAAGAAAAAAATATTTTGCTTGTACAAGTGTAATATCAGCAGTGGTAATAAGTCTCTATTAAAAATAGTCAGTACTGTGCCTCTTATAGCCTTAACTTTTCTATTGAAAAACATTTCGGCAGAAAATCACGACAACGCAAATATACACATACAGTGCTTGCAAAATCGCCTGCCCGACGTCCCGGGGCAACCAAAAATTTGTGTCGGGCAGCTAAAATCTCTTGACTAATGTCCCGACGGGCAACCACACTTTTGTGTTTTGAATCAACAATGTCAATGACAGTAGTAATCCAAGCACTGGAGGTAAGAGTATTTGTAACACAGTAGCAGTTGTAACTTGTTAACAGTTAACTAAACACCGGTTTTGTTGTGGTTCATTCAACTTCATTCGTTTATTTTTATCTAATTTAATGTGGGCAAGTGAGAAATGGCCACGGGCAACCAAATTGTAAGTGTTGACGCCCCAAGGGCAACCACTTTTTTCAAAATTTTGCAAGCTAGAAGATTTTACTCATGGAACATTGGAAATTAATTGGGCAAGGTGGTTCATAAACAACATAATAACACTGTCCAGCAATGCAACTAGTGGAGCACACTGTATAGTTTAGTTTAGTTTAGTTTAATTAATTCGCCAGTAAATTACAATAACATACATATATAACAAGTTGCAAGTTTACTAAACAGACGACTGGCAGGAGTTAGATACAGGACTAATGTCCCAGTTGCCATCCTACCCCTATACATCAATACAATACACTAAGAAATATTCACGCAGGTAAGCAATACGTAGCTAATTTATCGAAGTATAGGTTAATCATTTTAGTCTTAAATAAAGTAATTGAATTACAAGATTTTAAATTAGAAGGTAACGTATTCCAGAGTTCTGTAGCCCTAATGAAAAACGACTTTCTATAATAGTCTTGTTTGTGCTTAATAATCAAGTTGTAGTTATTTGGGTCGTAATTACGTGTCCGATAGCAATAAACGTAAGTGTTCAGCAATAAACGTAAGTGTTCTTTGCAATAAACGTAAGCAATAAACGTAAGCAATAAACGTAAGCAATAAACGTAAGCAATAAACGTAAGCAATAAACGTAAGTGTTCTTGCGTAAGTGTTCGATAGCAATAAACGTAAGTGTTCTTTGTTACACAGTATGTGTGCTCCACTAGTTGCATTGCTGGACTCAGAAGACAGTGTTATTATGTTGTTTATGAACCACCTTGCGCAATTAATTTCCAATGTTCCATGAGTAAAATCTTCTAGCATTAGAATTTAAAGTAAAATAATTAAATATGGTGCATAAAAGTATTTTGTGCTTTACTGGGTAAATATCTGTCTTATGCTGCTAATCTTACTCTGCATGGACAGTGTGGTTGGCATAGCTGCCATTTGGCATTTGCCCCTAGCTGCCTTTGATATGAACTGCATGGTGAATAGCCCACACTTTGAATACTGATAATATTGCCTTGTGGCGAGGAAACTAACACACAACAAACACAGGGTTAAAAATATACTAGAGGTTACTATCGCAAGGAAAGTGCTGCCTCACCCCGCCTTTCATCACATAAGGAGGTAAAGCACCCCTAAGACACCTGTTCAGGAGGTAGGAAAAGGGCAATTTGAATAAGAAAACACCTTGCACAAAGTCGACGGTCAGCTAAATATTCTAATTGCATTGACTTCCACAAATCCTCACTCTTCAAGAAATTACTTCCTTGAAAATTCCGGTAATCGTTCTATGTTTCGCGCACCAATATAGTAAAAGTTATGTAATGGATATTATAGTGTACTGAAAAGTTAACTGGATACCTCCATACACATATATACTAACCCTAACCTTAAACCTAACCCCTAACCCTAATAGCTAACCCTAACCTATATTGGTGCGTGAAACATGGAACGATAACCAAAATTCCTTCATTCTAAACAAAGATGAAGGACTTTGCAAAAGTCTACAGGTCATGCCACGCAAGCTTTTAATGATTTGCATTATTCAAATAGATGTAGGTTTATTAGCAATTTCATGACCAGTTGTCATGGCTAGCTTGCCACTGAATACTGTACAATATCATATATAACAAACAATAATAATTAATACTTGAATGAATCATTGGATATGTAGGATTTAATAACAATTTCATACATAGAAATACTACCAGTAAGTCAGTTTTTGTCCCAATTATCATTTTAATGGCACCTTCAAGGCTACCCTTACCACAGAACAACAGAACAATCTGCCGATGGGGAGACAAAATCTATTTTGTTGACATTTTTGTTTAATACGTCAGCTTCATATGACACCATTCATTGTGTAAATGATTAAGATTGTAATTGTTTAATACGTCAGCTTAATATGACCCCATTCATTGTATAAATGATGAAGATTGTACTCAGTCAGAACTGCAAAACTATATAATTAGAAAGAAATTGTGAGCATTTTGGAAAAAAGTCAGATAATTTTTCATTTGTGTACAATTGTGCGTTCCATTTCGGACATCGTACTGCTCATTTGACCTTATGCATAAGGATGTCACAAGGCTTGATGCCCGCGAGGAATTGCTTGTCAAATGGCCACTATTGAAATTTTCCTGGACCGTGATGACTACAAGACCAGCATTCCTCGCAGGCATCAAGCCTTAAGACGTCATTATGCATAAGGTCTATTGATATACAGTAAAGCCCCGCATAAAAGAACCAGTAGGTTATGAACCATTAGCCTGAAATTTGGCCTGTTATTTTAGCTTGTTATTTTAGTACTCTTGGGCAAACGTTAGTAATATATATGTTTAAATCAAATTTGGGCAATTAAGCACCCAAAATACAATGTGTAGAATACAAAAAAGTATAGTGTGAAGTAAGATTATATAAGAACCACTTTAATTACCCATAATAACAATATTAATAATCATTTTACTGTAATATATATAACTATTTTTATTGGCAATTTTCTAATTGACATACAACCTACATATTTGTAAAATTTGATATACAATACCTTGTTGGCTTGATCTTTTGACAGAATCAGTATACAACTTTATTATTGCAAACATCAACGATTGCCCAGCTAGCGAAATCACACTTCAGTACGTGACTTCGCTTGTATAAAATATAAAATATAGCGATCTATAGTTCACACATGGCTAGCAAGTTTGGTACAGTTACAGCGAGTTCACAATTTACTGCGTTTTTGAAAACATAATATGAACGGCCCCTTTTGATTTGATTTGACCAAATGATCGCCACGAACACACACCAAAATATACACCTAGCGGAGATAGAATTTGAATTTTTATAATGTATTAAAAACAGACTATCACGTTCATTTACATATATAAATAAAAGTATTCAAACGATCAAATAACTATTTTTATCAACATACCTTCAAACATATAATTTTTTTACTCCAAAATCAAAAAGTAATATTGTAAAATAAGCCTCGTGCAATGGAAAAATATGCGACATGCCATATGGCCCAAATGGTCATGTCAAAATTAAATGTCATAGCTCCTATGAAGGTACGGCAAACCGAACACACCTTTCGGAAGTGATCGGATTGTCATCGTAAACTTCCTGCGTATATAAATTTGTACACAACGTCATTTGAATTCTGTGACGTCAGAAAATGCGACCCGAATGAACGACAAACAAATCTCAGATGCTTTGGCTAAAATACATAAGTCGCGCGGGGATCTGGCACGAGTAAAAACTGTAAACGTTGTCAAGAATAGGTGGCAATCTCGTTCCCCGAGCCTGCGATCCTTGGGCAGGAAACGAAGGCTCTGGGATAATCCGAATCAGACATACAGAAAACTGTATGTCGACCGAACTGCGCATGCGTTGGCAAAAGCGAAACAAATTGTTTGAAATATTTTATTGTTTCGTCTATAAAATGATGATTTTTTCAGGGTTTTGGTGGAAATGTTAATGTTCTTCATAGTGGAATACAAGAGGTGTGTTATTGACTGAATAAGGAAAATATTGCGTGTGAAACAGGGTCTGTATAGAGCCGGCAGGAGCCGCGAAGAGGCTGCTGTTGTCGAAGAAAAATGTCACAATTAATTGTAATCTTGTCCATTCACCTCTGTGTCAGTTTGAAAAGGCTTTAAATGTAGACATTTGTGGTTCCTCCAGCATAATTTAGCCGTTTAACGCTATTATATTTCTAATGGTTGAAAGAGCGCGTGGAAAGGGCAATTTTTAAGAACAAAAACAATTACAATGTACTGTGTGTTATAAATTGCTACTGTAGTATTTATAAAATACCTGAAGAGAGTCTCAATTCTAATATTAAGTTGGTTATAAACCTTGATAATATTAAAGTTTTCAGAAGATTTGTAGGAATATTAAAAGGAATTTAGACTTATAAAACATATCATTAAAAATATGAATATAGTGAATTCCATGTTTGTATTGTGTTTAATATCATCTCTAGAAATTAACAGTTTATAAACCAAATCCTTGTTATATTTTTTAACTGCCCTTATAGCTTTCATTATATGTTTTAATATTTGCAAGCAGTTTAGTAGGTTAGGGATGCAACAGCACTTTTCAAATTATTGAATTATAACCAAGTTTTGTGTCTGGATAGGAATTACTGAAAGATTTAATACAATTTGTAATGATAGAGTTGGAGCAAGTTAAGCTGCAATGTGCTTCAGTTTGCCCTACTTTGTTATTTTAAGCTATTTAACGCCATAATATATATATATATATATATATATATATATATATATATATATATATATATATATATATATATATATATATATATATATATATATATATATATGCCATTATATAGTCTGCGTGCAGGCTATCCATCTGCATGTCTACCTATCTTTGGTTAATTATCTCATTAGATCATTAAGCCACAATGCTCTATAGTGCACCCTATTTTGTTATTTCACTGTACTTCTGGACAATTTTTCTCATCAATGGCTGGAAATGTAGTTGACTTCACGTTGATTACTGCCATTAATTAATTAACTACAGTACTAAATACGACATTCAAGGTTGGAGATATAGCAGGCAAGGTTGGAAATATAGATATAGAGTTTTTGTTGCCCCTCCCCTTCTCAGAGTAGGTATGTGTTGTTTTATAGTGTAAATAACAAGTTTTTATATTGCAATCAAACTGATAGGGTAGTTGTCATGACCATGGTAATAAAAATATTTCTATGGCTCGGCATATATATTGGGCAATTTTTTATCATTCATCACAAAATTATACCTGCACCCTAGGTGGTTCCCTGCAGGGGGTCATAACCAGGGGGAAGCTGATGAAAATGAATTCTGGTATTGGTGGCTGCATGATCACTTTCATTTAATATGAATAGAACATTTCTTAAAAAAAAGTATATGAATTTATTAAAAATATTTATATGGTCTCCCAATCTGGAATTCATACTTTGTAACATCTGGATCAATGACGTTTTCTTGGACAGAATCCAATTAATACAACCTCGAACAGAGGGCAGGGCTTCTTTGAATTACTGTGTGGACAAGATTAACAAAGGGATTGCCAAATTGGGATGTTGTGCTACTCAATAAATTAAAATCATTAAATACTTTATGCTATACAATTAGCTGTCCGTAATATTATATTGTATATTATTGTATTTCATATGAAGTCATAAATTTGCAATTGATGGGTGGTCAACTCTAAATCGAGACCCAGTCATCAGAGCGAATTAATTTTTCACTGTATGTGTTGGCCTTGTGTTTGGTAGCAAATACATGCAATTTCATATCATTTGCTCACTCCAGTACAACATAAGCATCAATACATCTTTTAGGTTGACCCCCTGTCAGAACCAATGACAGAATGTGCAAAATGCCATAGCGAAACCCAAGAATTCATTATATTATTGTGCACCTATATCAATGTTAAGCCCCAGAGGAGGGGGGTCGGGCATAGGTGGGGGCATTTTATTTTTAGAGCAAATTTTCAATCAAATGCCCCACCGTCGGGCAATAAATAGTGGTCAAATGCCGCACCATTTTGCAATAAATACTATGTTAATAAAACTCATTCGGTTCAAATTGCCCCAACTTGGGGCCAAAATGCTATTCAAAATCCTCAGGGTGGGGATGCAATTGATGATCAAATACCCCACATATGCCCAACCCCCTCCCCCCTCTGGGGGTTAACATTGATAGGTGCATTAGGTGTATGCAGACTGGAATACAGTTAATATCACTGCAGACCTCTGAACTCTCACGCATTCGGCGTGAGTCTCACGCAATTCGCTTCACTCTCACGTTCTCACGCCACGTTTAGTAAATCTCACGCATATAGCAGTTTTATAGTATTTTTTCAATAAATAAATATAATATTGTATTCTTAAATGCACATTATTAATCATTATACGGATCGCGAATCGAATATATAATCGCGTGTTATTGTTCCTGCATATACGGCCCGACATTTTGGCTTTTGCCCGCAATTTGGATACAAAATAGTGCGCATATGTAAATACGGCGGACAAAAGGCAGAATCAGTCGGAGCAGAATTCTATATGTAAATTATCAAAGGCAAATTAAAGCTCATTACTGTATGTCACAGAAATACAGTTATTGTAACTATGAAGCAATGACGTATTTCATTAAAAGTCTTAAGAAACACAAACTCTCATATTAAATGTACGAAATGCCATTTCAGACCCCCGGACTTTTACAAAGGTGTCATCCACTGATCTCCAATCTCACTCTTAACTTCTCTGCAAAGTTGAGAGGTCTGTATCACTGCCTGTGAAATTGTGGTTTATTTAGAGAATAAAGGTTTTTGAACTCTTCTATAAATAAATTATAACAGGAAAAGATTCATATGCACTCATATAGGGAAGGGTTACATGCTACAAATTAAAGTACAGTATATACATTAAATAATAAAATATATAACTGTAAATCCCAAGATTGGATTTATTGAAACTAGTTATTAGCTAGTTCTTCGCAATTAAATAACACAAAAACAAATTAATAAAAGTTGTTAACCATTTCTGACACAAATAGTATTTGCAAAATATAGCACATATTTGATATTATTTAACAATTATTCGCCGAAGGCGAGGTGATTATCGGTGAATAAAAACCGAGACGAAGTCGAGGTTTTTATTCACGATAATCACCGAGCCTGAGGTGAATAATTGTTTTAGTATAATTTCATAGGTGATTATTTGGAAAAAAATAAGAAAATACACATTTCTTTGTCATTTAATTGACAAAAAGGCTTCGGCCGCCATTTTGAAAATCGCTTAGGTGATTATCGCGTAATAATCACCTCAACGGCAACCAATCAGCGTGGAGAATTTATAAAAATCACCTATGTAATTATACTAAAGTCAAATAGTACAGTGTACTGACAGTACTGTATACTATGTATAGATTAAAACTACAGAAAACCTGTACAACAGAAATATGAGTAAACTTTTCACGCTCCATTTAACTGTTGTGATATTATACGCATTAAGTATACGTTTCTTTGCATTTCCTTTGTAGTATTAGTATATAGCACAGCTCTGAAAAAACCAAAACAATATTCGTACACTCCTAAACGGCCGCCATGTTGTATATAAAAATATACGGTTAAAAATTAATTTTTGCAAAATTGTAACATTCCATTGTATACCAGCAACCAATCATATTAATTTCTGAGATGGATTATCCCAGAGCCTTCGTTTCCTTCCCAAGGATCGCAGGCTCGGGGAACGAGATTGGAATAGGTGGCTGAATTCGCTCGGCAGCAATAAATATATAACTAGGTACACACACAACCACATGTTTTAAATCAATAGAGATTGTGTGTAAATTAATTTAATGGAGCTATCTTAGTTGGAAATTGTTTGTTAAATAAACCAATACCAAACTGTACAATGATATGAAGTTGGCTGTCAACCAGGGGCATAGTAAAGTTTTCAGAAGATGCAAAAAGTGCCCTTTGCCTTTGTGAAAAATGTTGTTCAGATTGCATAATTTTTGACTTAGAGATGCTGCAAAGCAATATCTGTGAGCTTTTGTGGTTACTTGAGTGTGGGGCAGTTAAACAATGAAATTGACCAGCTTGCTTGGCGTGTTCTCTTTGGCCGAGAATCGGGCCTTTCAGAACCAGAAATCGGGCTGGAACACGACAAATGGCAAAATTTGAAACTTTGAACAGCCATACAGTTTAGCAATGTTCTCAAAACACAAGGACTGGCATTGTTTTGATACTGCAATGCTATTAGATTGCTCAATAATGTAATTCCACAAACTTTTTGCTAATAAAGGAGCTTGGACGTTCTTAATAACTTGATCAACATGTAAAGAAGTAGGTTTGCCAATTCTTGTGTGCTTTCTAAAGCACGATTCAGCGATTCTAGCAATATCATTAAGTCATGAATTTGGTACCCACAGGGCTGAGGGCCCCTTCCCAGCAACATAAGCAAGTGGTCCAAGCTCTTCTGATTTCACTGATAATTACTAGTAGAATACAGGCGGTGTGCGACACGAGCGCGCAGAGCATGCTGGTTGAAAATTAAATTGCGCTCATATTCCAGTCGACTTTCGTGGTGTGTGTGTCTCTTAATTAAGGCGATGGGAATCACTGGTCTTTTGCCTCTTTTAAACACAAAAAAATCCGAATATCGGAATTTTCTGGAAGGTTGCGGCAGTGGATGCATATTGCTGGCTTCACAAAGGTGCTAGTTTGTTCGCTGAAGACGTCGTGATAAGGAACGACGATAAAAAGTAAGTTCAATCATTAAATATTTATGTTTTCTCCTCGAGGTTGAGGTAGTCTCACATGTGTTTATATTCTTGTATTAGATGCATTGAGCTCTGTGCGGCATATTTGGATGTTTTTGAGGAGAATAACGTCACTGCAGTTGTTGTTATGGATGGTAGAAAGTTACAAGAGAAAATAGTAAACGAAAATCGGGCAAGGTACGACCTCCAAGTGTTTAAGACTTGAGAGTAGTTCGTCTTGTTATAATTTGTATATCCCGTTATAATAAATCTGTTCCTTCGAAATATATAGAGCACGAGATGAAAACCTTTGCACTGGTTTACAATTGTGGAATGAAAATCGACGGGACGAAGCTGCACGTTTTCTCAAGCAGGGGGCAAATGTATCGACCAAAATGGCTCTTGAATTGATCAAGGTAAACTGCGAATATAAAAAGTCTATGAAGATTTCTAGTAGAGCTCCAAATCGTTTAAATTGTTGGAATATATTTTAAGTAGCTTTTTTTATGCATGGGAAAATTAAATTTAAAAAAAAATGTTACATTTTTTCCAAGAAGGGACAATATAAATAACCTTTCTGGTAGGGATGTTGATATAATTCACTCATGAGTCATGATCAGAGAGCCATGACTGTGGCTTGTGTTTATTATTTCTATTTGAAATTATTTGATATTACAGTTATGTAGAGAAAGACATATCACATATATTGTGGCACCTTTTGAAGCAGATGCTCAAATAGCCTTCCTGCAACAGAATGGATTTGTAGACATAGCCATAAGTGAAGATTCTGATTTACTTGTTTATCGATGTGATCAGGTTTGTTTTTTTAAACCCTGCCAAGGGGCGGTTTATATGCAACCAGACTAGCTCGCACAGTGAGAAAGCCTAGTGAGCATGAAATAGTTTCATGTGAAAATTTAATCTTGCTTTAATGAGCGGGACAATTTTAGTTGTTTTACAGTTTGTTGCAGTAGTTGGTATGTTGACCCAATGAGTTTCAATGTACCCAAATGCACCCTATTTTATTATTTTACTTTGTCTAATGCCAGGTGATTTTACTTGTCAATAAGAGAGTATTACACAATCAAACCCCAAAATTCCTCAATGCCTCATTTGGATAATTCCATATAACACGTTCTACGATAGGGTTGCATATTCTATTCAGCTCAAAATTAGACAAATCTTACGATTTGATGAAGAATTTGCAATAAATGTTGAAAATTTTGGATAAAGGTTGCCAAAAATTGCAAATATCATAACGTCTCCGAGGCTGTGTGGCAATATTTTCAAATGTTCGTTTCATTTAACAAGAAATTTTAAACCAACCGTTTAGACGAAAAGTCTATTTCAACTGCATTGCAGTATGGAAAAAGTATAAACTTATTTTTTATGAGAATGATTACAATTTTCAATAATAATGTCCAGAAAGTTAATTGTTATGTCATGCACAATTCGCGCATTTATTGTGTAATTAGCAAACTTGCATAAAACTCTGGATATATTTGAGGAATAACATTCTAATGTTCATGCCAGTGTCGACATTGGCAAGTTTCTGTGATAAAAATCAAATGGCAATAAAATATTATCCAAACTTTTGTGGGAAGATACATTACTAAGAGGAAATAGGAGTTTTGTTCCATAATCATCAACTTTATATGACCGAGGTATTATTACTTATCGTCAAATTTCATAGACGCAGAGATACTGGGTTGTTAAGTAAGTTTAGAGTATGTAGAAATCTATGGAATGGTGTGGCATGCATGCATCCAACAGAACCAAGGTGGTGTTAGTGGCATCCAATCCAAAATGGCGTTGGTGCATCCAACACAAAAATGGTGTTAGACGTTTCCAAAACCAAAATGGTGTTGGACACATCCAAAACCAAAATGGTGTTGGACATATCCAAAACCAAAATGATGGTGTTGGACATATCCAAAACCAAAATGGTGTTGGACACATCCAAAACGAAAATGGCGTTGGACACAACCAAAACGAAAATGGTATTGGAGACATCCAAAACCAAAATGATGTTGGACACATCCAAAACCAAAATGGTGTTGGACACATCCAAAACCAAAATGGCGTTGGACACAACCAAAACGAAAATGGTATTGGACACATCCAATACCAAAATGGTGTTGAACACATCCAAAACCAAAATGGTGTTGGACATATGCAAAACCAAAATGGTGTTGGACATATCCAAAACCAAAATGGTGTTGGACATATCCAAAACCAAAATGGTGTTGGACATATCCAAAACCAAAATGGTGTTGGACATATCCAAAACCAAAATGGTGTTGGACATATCCAAAACCAAAATGGTGTTGGACATATCCAAAACCAACATGGTGTTGGACACATCCAAAACCAAAATGGTGTTGGACATATCCAAAACCAAAATGGTGTTGGACATATCCAAAACCAAAATGGTGTTGGACACATCCAAAACCAAAATGGTGTTCGACACATCCAAAACCAAAATGGTGTTGGACATATCCCAAACCAAAATGGTCTTGGACATATCCAAAACCAAAATGGTGTTGGACACATCCAAAACCAAAATGGTGTTGGACACATCCAAAACCAAAATGGTGTTGGACATATCCAAAACCAAAATGGTGTTGGACATATCCAAAACCAAAATGGTGTTGGACATATCCAAAACCAAAATGGTGTTGGACACATCCAAAACCAAAATGGTATTGGACACATCCAAAACCAAAATGGTGTTGGACACATCCAAAACCAAAATGGTATTGGACACATCCAAAACCAAAATGGTGTTGGACACATCCAAAACCAAAATGGTGTTGGTTGCACGCAAAACCAAAATGGTGTTGGACGCATCTAAAACCAAAATGGTGTTGGTATTCCATGGTATTCAAAATGGTTTGGTCAGCAGGGATGAAAACATTCTGCCCTATAAATGCGGTTAAATGTATAGTCAGATACTAGCTGGGATATAATATTGCAGAATTTATTATATGTATACATAGTCAATTCTGAAATGAGACACAAGGGTTTAAAATTAAATTAAACTAGGGTTTTGCCTTGGCATTAGAATGCTGTTTTTAGGTTTGTTATGCAAGTGAGTATATATATACACTTTAAGACTGCGAAAAATGCAGCACAAGGTCCTCTGGTAGGATTTGAACCTATGGCCCTGTGATTCCAGTGCAGCACTCTAACCAACTGAGCTACAGACTACAGAGGCCAGCTGTTTAGCTGTAACTGTAAGTTCATGGATATATAGGTGATCGGGTGTGCAGGTTGTGAAAAGGTGGACTTCAAAGATCTGGTTTCTTGCACTTCACTTGGTGGAATTAATATCAGAATGCTGTTTTTAGGGTTTGTAATCCAAGTGAGTATATATACACTTCAAGACCTGACCAGGAATGACTGCATAAAATGTAGCACAAGGTCCTCTGGTAGGAATTGAACCAACGGCCCTGCGATTCCGGTGCAGCGCTCTAACCAACTGAGCTACAGAGGCCAGCTGTTGAGCTGTAACCGTAAGTTCATGCATATATAGGTGATCGTGTGTGTGTGTTGTGATAAAGTGGACTTCAATGATCTGGTTTCTTGCACTTCACTTGGTGGAATTAATATTAGAATGCTGTTTTTAGGGTTTGTAATCCAAGTGAGTATATATACACTTCAAGACCTGACCAGGAATGACTGCATAAAATGTAGCACAATGCACTCTGGTAGGAATTGTACCAATGGCCCTGCGATTCCG